TTAACTAGTACCTATACTATAATAAAGCCAAGTAGCGATTCAGATTTCATAAGCGCGATTAGTAGTAGAATTTCGGAAATAATATTTATTCCGCGCCATACGTTTAAAGATGCGCGTGCAAGAAGCTTTATTCCACTGTGGAGCAATATAAAATTGAGTACAATGACCGTGGTCGATGGAATTATTATGCATCTCGCCAAATACAGGGTGGCGCCTTGAAATGGAATGAGACCTCGAACACTGAAATAGATACTAATAAAACTCCAATCACTATCCTCATCATTCCTTAATAAGGTTGTAACCAGTCACCACCCTCCCTAAGGTTTAGAGCGTATAAATGGGCATTTTATCTGTTCTTCCAGATCCACTCCTATAGTAGTGTTTAAATACTTTTTGGAAAATTGAGTCCTCAAATTGTTTAAACAGAACGAAAATTTTGGAAAATGGAGGTTCTGAAAAATACTAGTACTTCACGATGTGTTCAGAATTATGCTGTAGTTGAAAACCTTTGCAGGTCCAAAACAAGTATAAATTATTCACAACTCTTGTGCAGATAAATCGCATTTTATAAAACCGTAATAGCTTAGTAAATAATATACGGGTTATAAGGTCGTAGCATGCTATCGATGTTTACTTGCTTGTTAGACGATTAATGGGGAAAAGCCTCTTTACACATAAACATTTAAAAGCCGCCTGGCATACATCCAAAATCCCCCGATTCTCCATTCTGCATATATTTGCGCTGAAAGCTTCGACTTCACCCATAGATATGTCTCGTCCAGTCGATTCATTTTGCCTTTGAGAGTACTTTCCTCCGACAAACCGTTTTCTAGATATTCGCTTCTAAAGTTTTGACATCACCAGTGGATATATTTCTTCCAGACGTTCCAATCGCCCTTTGTGAGTACCCTCTTCCGACAATCCGTTCTGAAGATATAAGGCAATATATTTCATCACGATAAGAGATCGAGGAGGGCTATGGTTGGTAGAAATTAATTCCTTTCGTTGAGATCAGTTTCACCCCCTCCCGCGGTAGTTGGTACAAAACTGTTCCTATCGTTGAGACCGCGTGGGAAAGTTATAGTTTGTACAAACCAATTATTAGAATACCATAAAGGGTAGAACCTGTGCCCCCCCCCCCCCACTACTAAAGACATGAGTATGAGTATGCCAAATCTGAGAGCAATTGGTTGTCGTATGTAACAGTTTTGCACGTTTACATCTCAGGAAATAATTCATGCCCCCCCCCCCCCAATACAGTGAAATTTGATGGCCGTCTGGCACACCTTCAAGGTGTAGGGTACCTATTGCAAAAAATTCCAGGACTCTAGGACCATTCCCGTAGTAGGTAGTTCAAAACGACAGAAGAAGAACAAGAAGGACGGACTGATGGGCAAAACGCAAACAATAGCGCTAAAAAATCAAAAATGCTGCCATTGTGTGGTGCACATTGTTTTGTTAGGGCACGTACGATGTTAGCATATATTAAAAATGTATATATGCCATATTTCACATCTTTCAAGTTACAACTTAATATACCCGTAACTCAAAACATTTAATTTTTAAATAAAAAACTGTAATAGTAAATGGAAATGACGAAAATGGATTATGCAAACGCAAGAGGAAGTTTTAGCTTTTATTGAAGTGTACCTACGAATAGAAGTATACACCTACCTATATTTTTAATTGAGTAACGGCGGTTTATTGACTGATTACACAAGACTAACATATCGGTAGGTACGCAACAATACTGTGAATGCAATTTTAATAGTAAAGCAGCAGTTGCCCAAGGAAACTGTCAAATTATTTCGCGAATGTTAGTTAACGCTTCTTTGCTTTGTATTATATTGTAGGTATGTATGTAGATAATCTTATTGTTCTCATCTTCTTCTAATATGCGTGACAATAAAAATAAAAGACCTACCCACAAGTATCAGAAGATAACCAATTAGAGCACAATTATAGTGGGTACGTGTTTTGGTAGTCAGTGGAATGGTAGACAAGGTAGCAATTTATCTCATTACTTTTCAAGGTATCTGCAGGTGTTTCGGGTATTATAAAACGAACAAAACCCTCTACTGGGCTTAGCACACAAAAAGTGCCCAGCTGCAGGTACTAGGTATACATAAAAGTTTAAAGGGACAAAATCCGCGTTATTTGACCGGTTCAAGCTTTGAAAGGCAAGATTTAAAGTTTTCGTTTTCAATCTCGTCATTACTTTAATTTTACTAACACAAATTAAATTAATGCAGTACTATGATTCTAGCATTAGGTAATTGACCGTGACGTTGATAGAATGATGGTCTGATGATGTTAATTGTTCATTCATTGCAGTAACAAGAATACAATAGAAGTTAATCAAGTGCAGTTATGTATTTACCTGCTGGTGAAATTTAAATACGAGTCACATGGATTGTCTACCTATTAATAGTTTATTGGATTGAAAGTAATCACTTTATCACCCTACAATTATACCGTAACCCTACATTTGAAATGAAAGTCTTTTAGGCTGAAATGAAAATATTTTTTTGTGCTTTCTGTTGTTTTGTTTATCAATATTAGTACGACAACTGGTATTAGGATATGGTGTGTATAGTTTAATGAATTCGTATATCTATTTTCGTTATTACTACATTTCTTATGACTTGAGTATTGTGAAATCTGTGTCGGTTTTCATCACAACTCTCACAACGCAGCCCTCGTCATTTTGTCCAATGCTGCCCTTTTTTCACTATTTCTTCTAGATTTTCATCTTCTTCATCTGTCAGGCGAGCATTACCATGAGACGCCTTCTTTGCGGCATCAAATTTTAGAGCCGTTTCCAATTTCTCATGTCGCGCAAGTTCCAAAGCTTGCCGCGTTTCTCCGTCGCAACACCATAGATAAACGTCTGCACCGCCAATTGCTGTATAAGGTTTTCTGGAGCCGTAGGATACGCCATCGACCGGGCTATATCGGATTAGAGATCTTGTAAAGTTTCGCTCTTTATTGCGTTCGGTTCTTGAACTGAGCGTAATACACCTGATACAAATGTTCTCGATCGTGATACAATTTGCTCAAAATCTTATTGCTGATCTTCTGGAATCGTATGCAAAACAACCAATCTTGAAATTGATTAATTTATAACAGTAAAAATATTATTTATCACTCACATGTACACAATTTATAACAGCGCGAACTATTTATTATTTCGGCGTTGAAATTGGAACTGACTGAAACGTAATTTGATTTGCTTATAGGTATAGCAAACTTGTGTGCTCTCGAGTGACGGTTCTCAAACGTTTTAAAACAAAACACGTCGTATTTCCCGGAAAGATTTTGTTAAATCTAACTTCGTTCTTTGT